GGTAGTACATAGACGTTATATTTCAATTTTAATATGAATTTTTTCGTAAAATGTGTGTGTGAAAAAGGTTTACAATAAAAGAAGTAGTAATAAATATTCCCTCTATATTTCACAATCAAAGGTTCAAATTTTAGTTCAGCTATAGATGTCCCTTGATTATTAATTTTTACGTTAAAATGGTTAAGATATTAATCTAATCTAAATGAATTTTAAGATTACTCTATAATACATCAGTCGTAGGAAATTGATGTTTTAAAACTTTTAACCGAATGAGTAATTGCACTTTTTATTATAAGAAAATTACTTTGCTCCCACGAGAATCGAAATCCACGAAATCATTTTGTGTTATGAATAATATGGAGACACTTCTATCTAATTCGCACACACCGCCTTTTCCTTCTTATTAAAATTCTGTCACAGAAATCACGTCCTCACAAATCGTCGGCATTACTTCGTCTCCCCATTTACACAATAAGTGCGACCGCAACTCGAATCTTCTGACTTCCAATAGTTATTCCCGGGAAGATATTGCGGAAACGTATTGCTAATGTAAGGCCAGCGTTAGAGTAACTCTTTTATACAAAAGGAGGTTGGCAATATAATACGAGTGAGAATACTTTTGATATTCATTTGAAAGCGCGCTTCCCTCGACCACTCACAGCCAACGCCTTTTGTCATATCGATGCTCGTTTGCTTTTCCTCTTTTTCCTCTCCAACGCCCGGAGGCAAATCTGGCACAGTTCGTTTTAGCGTAGCTTCGAGGTTCTCTCATCATAAGCGTTGCTGTCGACGCCATTAACGAGTGCTGATTGGTTGTTGCGTAAAATTATTTGATGAAAATCGAAAATGTTCTGTTTTAAGTTTTTTATGTAACTCTGATTTTCACCGTGTGAAAGCTACATGTAATGAAATTTACGTTTTATAAAACAACTAGTGAACCCTGTAATGCTTCGCTATTGCAGAGTATTACGTATTACACGCTATTGGTCACGTGATTGTTAGTCACGTTTTACGTTACCCTCTGCAAAAATTCTAAGAAATAAAAGATTTTCTTGCAAAAATGGGTTTGTTCTATGTCCTTTTTTTAATTAATAGATATGTCCTGTTAAATTAATTGATATATTCTACTATAACATAGAAAGTCTGTGCTGATTTCAGTAAAACTTGTTCTTTTTTAATTTTCTGGAAGAGTATTGTTTTCACTTTCACCCGCCCCTGGGGCAAATAGGAACAAAGCTAATTACACAATGTTTATAGCTTAATCAAATATTGGAAAATAATGTAAATCAGAATTTTATAAAATCATATACTAATATAATGAACATTCATTTTATATCTACGTATAGCTTTTTTGCCGTTTTATGTTTTTTGAAGTGGGTCAAATAAGGTGTGTTATGGCAGTTTTTCCAGTTCGACGGGTGGACTTGAATTTGATCTGATTTGACCCAGGAAGAAATTCTTAACGAGAAAGGATCTGAGATTCTGCCTCCACTAATGACGTAATGGATGTAGCGTACAATGTAGTTTCTGAAGATTCTGGAGACAGTTCACAATCAATTTGTTGCTTCTGCTGGAGCCAAAGTATCATCAAAAAATATTGGAGGGTATATCCCTGTGTTTCAAAATCCAGAGAAAGCATTCTGTGTTGTGGCTTCCCTTACAAACGCTTCTTCTAAGAGAGAATTGACTTCGTGGCAAGTCACCACTTTGAGTGATTTCGAAGCCAGTTCTTAACAGTTGGTGTGTAAAAGGTACTGAGGGGTAACATGAAACTCTCATACTCCTAAAACAATTATAGTAGTAATAATATGCAGTCAAAAATTTCGGGGCAAAGAAGAATAGCAACGTTCCACGTTGCCCCGTTCGACGTTAGCACAAAATGGTTCAAAATAATCACATTACTCTTGTTTTTGTTTGACAAATCCAAAATAAATAAAACTAAGGCTTTAAAATAACAACTTTCGTACTTCTGCATTGCAATGCCAAAGACAATGTTTTACATTACTTGTACGTACGTTTTTGTAAGGAACAAAGGATAGTCAGAAAACAATAATAATTCACTCTTTTGATATGCTAGCCCCATGACACATTCGCTCAGCCATGTCAACACTCTTCTCGGCAAAAAACCTGTTCTAGATCTGAAAGGCTTTAAAGCTGTGGATTTTACAACCAAATTCCACTTTGCCCCCACCTTTCTCTAAACATTCCGGCCGAAATTTCACAATTGCAGGGGCAACGTATGCAACGACAGATGCGCTTAACACTTGACGGTGCGGCGGGTTGCGAAGTGCTTCTGTTCAGGCACGCTTGAGTCATCATAATCGCATAGATTATCGACAACGCCCCACATGTCTGATTTAATTCATATCACTCTTCAAAGTCTTCCAATACTAACAAGAACAATGTGTGAAACTTCAGCGACATCGGTGGAGTAATTTCTGCGTCTGTGCGACAAATACGCACATTCCCTTATACACACACACACACACACACGAGGGACGTTCAAAAAGTTTTCGGAATGGTGGTTCAGCATGTTGAATGTTTAAACCTATGGCAATAGTAACTTAATCACCTTTGAAGTAGGATCCTTGCGTACCCATACACTTGCCCCACCGTTCCCGCCGTTGTTGCAAGGAGCGGTATCAGAGTTCTTTCGGCTCTTGTCGGAGCGGAGTCGTCACACTCGATTTCATGTTCTCCACGGTTGCAAAATGTTTCACTTTCAGGCTCATTATCAGGTTATGAAGCAGCCAATCGTTTCTGGGAGCGAGATCCAAAGAGTATGGGGGTCGAGAGAAGACATGAATGTTCTCGGCGACAACAAGCGATGTGTGGCTTGGCGCGTTACCGTGATGCAGACATCACTTTTCCTTGCCATTCGACCTGGCAAGTCCTTCGAACCGCATCACGCAAACTCTAAAAATCTTGCCCATAGAAATTTTCAGTAACAAATTGTTCAAGCCACGCGATAGCCAGATTGTCCAAGCCAGCCGATAGCGTCTCTGAAGTCGATTTTCCCAGCTTACAAACGAACTTTATGTTCGTACGCTGTTCGCACTGCATTTCGTCGACGGCATATCACTCATCTTCACGTGACACGTGGCAGTGACACCACAGCGCGCTGAAACATGTCCAGACCAATTTTACCAGCTTGCGAACATTCCTAGCCACCTACCAGAAGAATGTGAACGCTGTCTTATCGCTAGTCTGTCGGCGGCAAGGCAATTCCGGGAACTTTTTGAATGCCCTTCGCGTATATATATATATATATATATATATATATATATATATATATATCTAACATATCCCACTACCTAGTACAACTTACCACACCTTCACAGTAGCACGCATGTAACCGTAAGCAGTGTTACAAGATTTTGCTCGTGAAGCGAGCTTTAAAAAAAAATCTAGGGAGCAGGATCTTGCAGGGTGCGAGAAAGGTTTTGAACCCTTGACACAATAAAAATCACACAGATTGCACACAAACAGCGTATAATTTACCATAAAACTTTTAGTGGCATAAATAATGACAGAATACCAGAAATATTAGAATCACGCTTTTACAAAGAATAATCAAAACACGATAGAAACCTTAAAACACACCTCATGTGAATGAACACATAATTTACTTCAAGATTGATACTCTGATGCTAATTACCCTAAACTACACTGGGAATTCCCTTGGAAAATTAATTATATCTAAATTTGTGCTATCCTAATAACATTGCAACATGAAATCAAAATTCAATTTACAATCTTCTCGCTTCAAGATATTACATGTAAAGAACAAAATGTGTGCAAGGCACTACTCTAATTACAATTTAACTGTGTCTGAAAATAGCGAAAATAAAATGTCCTAAGTAGAACGATGTTTTTAGGCAGGCAATAGCGCATCAAAACGTCTCCTAACTATAATACTGTAATTTGTTGCCACCCGTGTCCTCAAATTCTTAACACTTTCCTATACTAGTTTTCCTGCCGACGTGAACTTGACCTATTTTCTGCATTCCTAACTGTTACCTCGTAGACTTTCAATTTTGGCCTTGATGTTGTGCGCTGGTCGCTGCGGTGACGCCGTCCGGTCGCGCTCTGCGTCGTAAGAGAAGACGGGATTCGCCTCTGCCGTTGCGTTGCCTTCTTGCGTCCTCTTCCGTCTTCTCCAACCGTTCTCGTCTTCTCCACTGCGCCTGGATCCTCGGCCTCTTCTCCTTCCTCGTCTGCTACGGCGCCTCTGACTACGCCCATGTGCGAAAATGTCCCTTGCACTTCACTGAATACCCGTGCAAGTTCCTCGCTCGTTGCTAACTTCTACTTTTGCAAGCCAGAACTTTTAATGTTCCTTCACAACGGGTAACATTTACTTCCCGTGTTGTTAATTGAGAAACACTACTTAATCTGCACTATCTCGCGGACGAATAACTAGAACGTCTGTTCGACGCCGAATACTCCTACCTAGTCGTTGCAACGGCAAACAATATCTAATGTTTAACGAAAATGTTGACTTCGTCGAGACGGTTATTCAAAAGAGCAGCTGCTTACTCGACGGCGTTAGTGACCAGAAAAGAGAGCTTCCGCTTGCGGGTTCGCGTATTTATGGCGCGCGCCTGGGGAAATTCTGATGGAAGGGGGGGTTGTTTCCCCTCTCTCAACCCTTCACAAAGAAAACATAGCTCGCTAGTCGGCATTCGTTAGTACGGGCAACGGATACCAGGCCGCCGCGTTTAAGTACCTCTGCACTTACGCGTCTGTTATCCTCGCTGCCTTCCGTAGTGTTTTACATAAGAGACGGTGTTATGGGGTTTGCACCAATCCCATAACAGCCACAACTATTATATATATATATATATATAATATATATATATATATATTATAATATATATATATATTATATATAGTTCCAGCTCGACGTATATACCCAGTTTTTTCTTTTTAGCTCTTGAGCAATGCATTCGCCTCGTTCATTGGTGTCTAACTAACAGCGTTTCTTGTCGTGGTTGCAGCGCTCTCCAACCGTGGGGTCGGCCGGCCGCCCGCGAAGCCCCGGCTGCGAACCGCCCACCACCACCCCCGCCGCCACCGCCACCGCGCCTGTCACCGCACCACCGGCGGCACTCGACCACCTCTTCCTCAGTGTCAAGACCACGCGCAGCTACCACAAATGGCGCCTGCCCGTGCTGCTGCAGACGTGGTTCCAGCTGGCGCGCAACCAGGTCAGCGCGCTGCGCCGCGCCACGCCCAAAGCGATGCCGGCGACGGAAAATAGAAAGGCTAATGCCATTTTATCAAAGCATTTATTATTTAAGTCACTGATTTCAATAAATATTAATTTTGCTTTTTAATTACTATGCAATTTGGTATTTTAAAAAAGTTGTTACATAATCTAATATATAAAAACCCAGTTTGGTGGTTCGTGTTTAATGCGCTGACGTACTGTTTATCCAATTGCGATAAAACTTTTGCCAACTTATTCCTTGCACTTGTAGAAAGGATTGAAGTGTAGGGCAATTATTGTAACTCCATTAGATGGCGCTTCATTTTAATGCAATTCCCATTACATGTGGAGTTTATTGTAGCTGAGAGTCTCCGTGTGACGTGGGTGGAGGCAGGAGAGGAGGAGCGGGCAGAGCAAGGAGAGGAGAGGCAGGGGAAAGACAGACAAGAGGAAAAATAGAGTGGGAAAGAGAAGGGGGAATTAATTAACTCTCAAATAAGAATAACAAAACTCGTTCAAACTTCAAACGATATTTTCACAATTATTTCTTCTGTGGCAGCAACACGCAGCAAATTACCATCTAGTAATATATTTTATTTTGAGTAAATAGTTTCATGGAAGGGCGTCAAGTCAGAAAACAAATTATCAATATAAACGTTTTTGCTGGAAAAGGCCAAATAAAGGATGCAGGATCTAAATGTTGTAATCTGTTTCATCTGCCCTTGTTTACAGTGAACAGTTGATCTTTTTGAAGAGGTACGCTGTCGTATGTTTCAAAATACAGTGCTGCCTCTGTATCCAAATGATCGTTAAAACGGTATTCTTCTGTCGGTTCATAAAGAACGCGTTTAAAAAGTTTTAAAATCTTCTCTATTCTTAAAAATGGCAAATAAATTAATTTCCTATTTTTTCATAATGTTAAACCCAAGCCTGGAAGGGTTCTAACAAAACTGTACTCAATAATTAAATACAATACTTGTTTGATAGCACTGTTTTCCACTCATTGGTTAATTTCTGACAAATTAAAAAAGTAAGTTGATGTTATGCAGAAATTTATTTGCACGTGGTATTAAGGAATTGACAAAATTTTGAGCATCTTTCTGAATTTTAAAATCAATAAGGACCTTGTTCAGAATTCAGATTGTTTGCTCCAAATTACATTACGACTTTGTGGAATTTTATTGGCTGATGTGCTTGGCAAAGATTACATCGAATCGACAGGTAATGAGAGCGATAGGGTTTTCTTGACTGAATTAGATTTTAAACCAATTTTAAAAGACCGCGTAATTGCTTTGTGGTTATTCATTTCTAAATGACCAATTGATAGAGCGCAGGGGTTCCCAGTGGGGTCGATATAGCCCCCCTCCCTTACAGTTCGATGAAATTTTGAAGGGGGTCAAAGAGTATCAAGGGGTAGATTCGAGGGCAATAGCCGTGTTGTTGACGTGTTCGTTCTGATGGACGCGACACGGAAGAGAGGAGGGTGTAGGTGACAAGGCCACAAATAATACGAATATTTGGCTTAGAACGTTGTATTACCTCACTTGGCTGGTGAATGAAGAGGTCACTCGCTTGAAACGTCGTGGACTCATGCGGGAGCGAAGGCAGAGAGGGGGCGTGGGTCTCAAGGGTGGTGCCTTATATGAGAGCGGCCTGCGACCCACAATGCAGGTGCTGTTTCATCAACCCGAGGCCCCCAGTGCACGAAAACAGGTCGCAGGTCACCGGGCTGACCAGCCTTGAAAGAACCGGGGCCCGATCAGTGTAGTCAAGATCACGTTGATTACAAAAAAAAAACCGTATTGTTTTCTGATATAAGGGAGGAAAAGACTATGATAAACAATTACACTCCTCGTCGTTGGGATTCGTCCTTCATCCGTAGGAGATAAGATGTTTAGCAAATGGAAGAAATTATAACTGCATTCACAATTATACTTTCTCGCGCAAGAAAGTACTCTTCGCAGTACACACTGTAGAAATACAAGGTGTGGCTATTAATTTCCCGGACTGCTCCAATACCACCAGAACATATGATGTGAAAAACGTAACCTTTTAATATGTATCGAAGTTGCCGTAATAAACTTCTGTTCTCGGTTGTGTAAGTTGTGGAAACAACTTTTAAAGTCCTCTTTCGGAAGGTTCTTCAATGTCGACGTCACGTTTTTGATGTCGAGCATCCCCCAAGCGTGTTCGTTTGATCACGGTTTTGAGTCAGGGAAATTAATCGAAGTCTGCGGGGGTAAAGTAAGGAGAGTATGCCGAATGATGCATCTGCACGACCTCATGCTTGGCCAAAAACTTTTGCACTGGCAACGCAGTGTGGGGGCGGGCGATGTCATGCAACAGAAACCAACTCCCAATCTGTCGAAAACGGACGCAGATGTAATATTTTCAAAATAATTATCAAAAATAATTACCTTACAGGGAGACCGAGGTCTTCGGGATTTATAATCTGCCGTGTGCAGTGTCATTCAGCAAGTAGCTACAACTTCTTCCAAGCTACTACTGCTAGTAAATAAATCTCATCACAACCAAAACGATATTCCCATTGGGAATGTACACGTAGTTTTTGAATTTCAAATTGAGCATTGAAAACATTATTTCAGAGAGATTTATGAGTGTCTGAACTCAAATTGCCCCCCCCCCTCCCCCAGAAATACTTTCTGAATCCGCCCCTGTGACCATTTGTCCGTCGGTTCAGCGGCCGGTCCACCACCCCCCTCCAGCTGCCACGCTCCTTCCAGGGAGCATTAGCCGCCACCCTCGTCCCACGCGAGCGTAGCAGTCACGTGGCTATTCCGTCTTGTGGTCCAGACCCGATGTCCTGTGCCACGTGACCCACCCGGGTCGCGGAACTGTCCCACATGGAGGAGGCTGCTAGAAGCATTTGTGTGTGGCAACTCTTGAAACTGCAACTTCCTAAAAAAAATCACGTGTTTTTTTTCTGTGTTTTACAAATGAGCCCAATCGTATAAGGTACGATTTTAAAGCTAAAAAAATTGTTCTTAATTAACATTGCAAGGAAAAGTTTCCCAATCCTTTGCAACATAGAGAGATTACGAAAAGCCACAGAAGTGGCATGATATTTGGGGCATAAACATACTGGATGTAGTATAACCTGAATGTGTGACGGAAGTGTTTTATTTTTATGTGAATAGGAATCATTTAAATGGTATTCGAAATGATTTGTATTTTATTAGAATTTTATTCTTTCTTCTAGGTACTTGAAAAGTCTAATATAAATTTTGTTCTGAGCTACTTGCGTTCCGGGACTGAAATGCATAATTTCTTATTTTTTCACAGACTTGGTTCTTCACAGATTCCGTCGACGTGGAATTTCAGGAAAAGACAAGTGAGTACAAGGCACAGAGTTGCCTGACAACTTGAAACATGTTTGGAAATTTCATTGAGAAGGAAAAGTCGAAGCAAAAAGGGTTCAAAGAAGACTTAGAAGGGTGGGTCATTTTAAGACGATTAGAAAACTACATAAAATTCCTTAAATAGCATTGGTTAAACGATCTTTTATTTTCTCGCATGAGAAATATAGAGAAAGTATTGTGATACTGCAAAAAATTGATCTCAAAATTTCTCAACCCCTCTTTGAAATACTGGTTAAATTGTGTATTTAATTCGAAAACTAAATTCGATTACAATGAAGTGTGAAACAACACAAAGAGTCAGAAAAGTTTCTTTATCTTTCCTATTTCTAATGAAAGCTTACGAATTTAATTTCCTTTCAGGAGGATATATCCAATATCAGCACATGTCCAAGTTCCAATATTCTTAGCTAATGCGTAACAGTTGTAACACACAAAATTGCTAGTGCATGGTGTATTACGAATACTCTCGTAAACAAAATTCCATACCCTTGACTGAAATTACGGTATTGTTCTCCAGAGACTTTGGATTAAATCTTTCTTTGAAAAATTTGATGAATGATTTCTATACTTCCTGCCTTTTCCGCCACGAACAACTTCATTTTTTAATGATAAATATTTTAATACCCTGAAGGGGAAAAACCAAAGGTAAAAAAAATTGAGATACTTAAAGGAAAAATGCAAACGACTTCAAACTGTAACCAATATTACTTAATATACTAGAAATTAATCTTATTCTAGTTTAATTGCAACTATTAACTATAAAAATTAAAGAAATGAATTTTACTTCTAATTACTTAACCATCTCCTAGTAATAACTTTGGACCAGACTACACAAACTAAACCTAAAGTGTATTAAATCCAGAATCTAAATCAACTAATATTTACGTCCATATTCGTCGAAGATGTCCTAACTCAGAAACACCGCCCAACAATGAGAAATTATTCTGAGAATCTCAAACAGCCTAGTCGCGGCCTTCCCATTGTTTTATTGCAACCTTCTTGAAAGATTCTAGAAAAAAATGCTGGAAATTCGAATTTGCAGTTTCGAAATTTTGCAAAAATTACGCGAAACTGTTCACATTTTCAAAAAAGTCTACATGAGAATTGTAGTGTGAGTGAGAGCGAATGACGTGAAACACATCTCCATCTGTATTATTATTATTATTATTATTATTATTATTATTATTATTATTATTATTATTATTGTTTCAGATGGCCACATGGTCAATACCAACTGTTCCTCTTCGCACAACAGGTACGTAATGCGAGGCTTATTTTCTAAAATATAATTTGATGTCAGAGATGTTATTTTCCAATTGTTTTTCGCAGGAAGGCGTTGTGCTGTAAGATGTCTGTAGAGTTCGACATGTTTCTTGAAAGCGGCAAAAAGTGAGTAATTTCACTTCTTATCCTAATAAATTCAGGGCTAATGATGATAAATGACACTATGTCACAGGGTTTGTAGGTTTCTAATTTGCTCAGAAAGAGAGCAAAGAAAGGTTTTTACCTAGTTCGTCAGTGAGCGACAAAATCCTTGTAAAGAAGTAAATGTGTGTTTTCTTTTAAGTGACATACCACCGAATGACGTGTAGCCGAAGAGACGCGGAATGAAAGGAACCTCTCAACCTGCAGCGCTCAGGTTTTAGTGAATGTGCAGCTGCAAATATCTCAGGACGGGGGGGAGTGTATCTCCATCTACGAAGTTTCGAGCTCATTCTCTTCCGTTCCCTTGCTATCAAAAGAATAATGGGAAATCTGTTTTTGATTTTTCGTGAAGATGGAATGAAATGCCGCTTTCTCTCACATTGCTCTACGGAAAAACACATTAGTCCAGAACAAGATTCAGAATCTGATGTCGAAACATTGCCAGAAAAAAACGAGACAAGGCGCATCTTAAGCATTTTCTATCGTAACCAGTACGAGCATTCCATTACAGAAATGGGAGCAGTACATAATCGTCTTTTATCGTCATCTGATGGTCATCCTAGAGTTTGGAAGATCCTATGACACAGATGTAAGGCAGTGTACGTGCGTTCCTCTCATGGAATGTTCGTGATCGCGTAATAGGTCTTCGCTAGCGCGGAGACGAAGGTATTCTGCCCCCAACCTCTGGAGAAGCGTTCCAAGCTATTAATCTGGGTGCCATCGCCATCAACTCCATCGCATCAGTTGCACTTTAGTAAAAACCCCTGCTATTGTGAACGTCTTTGCTTTCTTCCGTTCCTCCAGTAACTAAATGTCATCCAAAGACTGCTTCAAGATTTCCTTAAAGATTACATCAATGGAGCGCACACCTACCTATCACACAAATCTACCTTGATTACATTTGAAGTGAGCTTTCGTTTTTTCAATACCGTAAACAGTGATTAAAACTTCTTAAAGTGTAGAAGTCTGTTTGTTAGTTCTGAGTTAAAATGTATTACTTTCCCTCAATTTTCTTTCTTAAGAGTATCATACAATCTTCATGACCGACAACAATGGGATGAATTCCAAGAATTTTGAAACCTCTGTGTTGCTATTTTCCGAACTGGCAATGCCTGAAACGAAGCGTGAGAAATTCGAAATTACAATTCCGAACTTTTTCCAATTTTCGAAAATGCAAAAAAGTACCATCAACACTCTCTTTATAGATCTTTGCTACATACAAGAATAAAAGTAAATGGCAAAATTTCTGCCACTTCTGAGAAATTTGTTTAAAATGGTTTCAAAAGTGCGTGCGTTTCATCTCAAATTACGCGAAAAATACTTTTATTTTCGAAATATTGAACATGATCTCTTGTGAACTGTTTTTAATGAACACATTCATTAAGAAAAAAATCTTAAAAATTGTAGTTGCAGTAGGAAGACGCCGAAAAAAAATTGAATTTTTGCAATTTTCGAAAGAATCGAAGTTTTCAATGAAAATGAAACCTGCAGCATTCTCGCAAACGTCCTTCACACTATCAATCAACAATATTTAATCAACAACGATGGAGCTTTTTTATTTTGATAAATAAATAGAGATATGGTCAGGTATCAATATTTTGATTCAACTAATGATCATTTCGATCGCGTAGCGATCATCCTCAGAGCTTGTTGAATCAAAATATTGATACGACAATATCTCTATTTATTTATCAAAATAAAAAAAGGTATCTACTTCACCAACAATCCAATTAATAAGGAGCTTTTTTTAATTTTTTTAATTTTGAAAAGTCCCAGTGGCTTCATGTAAAGTAAGCCCCCCTCCCCCCCCCCACACACACACACACACAAAAAGAAATATATGTTTCAAATTCAAGGGGCCGCGGCAGTCAGATCATGTGGGAAATATGAAGTTTGGAGAAAATTGGCTGAACGGTGGTTTAACCGCTTGCTTTCGCAAGAGGATAGAGACGTTTTGCCGTCATTCGGTTTTTCGGTACCACAAAACATAGATTCTGGCTACACTGTGTGTTAGATGATTTTTTTCTAAATTTAGCAACTGGTTGTATCCACTTTTTCGTTACCAGGCCCCGGCCATAAGAGATTTTCCGCCGAAAATTCGCCGCTTTTTCCCGCAGCAGCACATACCTTTTTCTTCTTAAGAAGTACCTTCTTGAGGGGAAGAAAGTAAAAAAGAACATTACAAAACTGAATATCAACGATAAAAGGTATTTCCGTAATCAAATCGTCTAAAATATTTAAATACGATCATGTACACTGGTTTATTTGTTTTCGAACGAGTATTTTTCGCCCAGTTTTGTTTGAAGTCACGACAATTCGTTAAAAAAGGGGGGGGGGCTACAATTTTTTCTTAAAATATTTTCCTCAGGACGAGCTAAGGCCACCAAAAAAAGGGGCGCTCTCATTTCAGTTGAACTCTAAAATTTCAAAAATTGCGATAGTTGCAAATAATGTTTGTACTATTGTAGCCCAGCTAGTTTGTCCTTATATTTGGTGTCCAGATCTTCAACGATGAAAAGGAGGACATGTGGTGAAAAAAGAGGATAGCTATTTTAAATAACGATATAATGTGACATATAGTGTGTACAAATTACATTGTATTTTTTTAATGTATTGTGACAGATGTGAAGTACTGATGCAAACTAAGAAACCTTTATTGGAAATAAAGACGTAGTTTCCAGGTACTCAAACCTTTCATTCAGTTTCAAATCCCTTCGTCACAATGCAAGATATTTGATGGCTAGGGCAAAGTTAAATTTGCATTTTCGCTTTGGAATTTTAACTATCATAATATATCTTTTGGAAATATGTATCTAGCAAAACAAACATCGCTTGCGTTTCCTTTCTCGACAGAATCGCCAACGGTACACAAAAGTACTACGAAGTAGACGGAGTAAACCTCTCGAATTGCACGAAGAATAGAGAATATTCCACCGATATGTCTGCCACCTACAAACACGTTAGTGTTAAAAGAAGTGAAAACAAATAATTCGGAAGTGGGCATCGCGCTCTCAGACGAGCAAGTTACAAACAGCGGGCAACTCCACCCGGAGCCCGGGCAAAAGCGTAAAAGGGAGTGGGCGTGTGGTCACCCTGTCCTCGGGTCTTCTCCTCTGGGGCGTGCGCAGAGCAGTGGTGGGGGTGGGGGAGGGAGGCTAGGAAGTGACGCGGGCAGCCAATTGCTTGCCGGACGACTTCAATCAGCGTCGTCAGCGGCGGCCGGTGGAGGGAGCTGTTGCGTGTGCCCGGCGTTCCCTCCCTGCCACACGGCGCACCGCCGCCTCTCGCTCTTTCGGCGGCGTGGAAGACTACAGCGATTTCTGTTAAGAAACGTCTGTGATTATCACAGAGAAGGTCTCATTGACCGAAAATATAATGCATATTACACAGAATCAATTATCCACCTTACCGATATGAATTTCAACCAAGCTGGGCCGCCATTTATCTTCAAAAAGGATTTCCCTTCGACTTTTTTAATATGTGATGTACATTTTGGTATTACAACTACAGTATTAAAAACATTTTTACTTGCTGATGTTCGTACGTATACATTGAGCAGTAGCGTGTAGAATAAAAAGAAGCCATTATCCACCAGAAAAGAGGATGATATTTGCTCAAATATAGAGTGTACAGGGAGGAAACAACAAAACTTTGAAATGAAGCTCTGAAGTCAATTTTGTGACATATCTGAAACATATTTGTGTTATAAACTCCTTCAATATTTCGAATGGTTGATCCACTATAATCACTCATAAGTTGGTCTGTAAAAAGGCTCCTTAATTTGTATTTCAGAAACATAGGAACACTAGAAACGTGTAAATTGTTTATTATTTACAAAAGAAATTAATATATTTGTTCACAAAGAAAAAAAATAACACAAAAATAAAGAAGCAATTGAATTGTGTACATTGGAGCCTCTGAAAAAATGTTGAAAATGTCTCAGAAATAGCTCCATTTTTTCCTTTAAATTTCTTGTAAGAATAGAGTGAAATACTTCTATAGATGGTCCGACAGGTCCAATATCCACTGTTTCCTTGAATTTTCATCAAATGCAAAGGTTTGGCTGTTTAGAAGATCCTCTTACAACTAAATTATTGAAAATTGACATTTTCTTCATATGAAATATGCTTTCCTTGTTCTTTAATTAACGCCATATGCATTTTTTGAAAATAGTTGTTTTCGTGAAATATCAGTAGTATTGAAAATAAATTTTTCTGAAAAATTTCTCCAAACCTTTTACTATTTTGTCTTACTACGTACGTAAGAAAGTAAGAAGTAAAGAAAAAGAATTCTAATGCTGCATCGCAAAACGTCAAAAGTTTTCGATAGCAAAACATATTGTCCCGTCAATTCCCGACAGCGAGAGGACAACTGTAGAGAGGGGGTTTGTTAGGTGGTGAAATATCTGAAGTCATCTTTGCCAACCTACTGGATTTATTCAGATAGGCGGCTTTCGACGGCTTTGCCGTCATCATTAGATGTCATATTCATCTGATGGGAGCAAAGCTGTCGAAATCCGGCTATCGAAATAAATTAGCGAGTTGACGAAGATGATTTGTTATTTCACCATTTAATTACGCCAACCAATACTTCAATAGCATTCTCTCAACTCGTTTGGGTACTGCTCCAACATTCGCCCGGTTCTGATCGGAGAAACCACGAAAAGCCACTGATCAGGGCAGTCGGCCGCTGGAATTCTCCTCCTATCAGCGGCTGAACTCGACCTATCTATGTAGCTAGTGCGGAAAATCCTGCCACCGTCGTGTCGAACCTTAGAACATGAGATGCACTTGCAGCCTCAACATCCACACCCACTCAAGAAGAACACATGTTTAGAAAGGTGTTTCGGACACTACATATGGGAGTCATACACATTTCTTGATGCCTCAAGTCACCTTTGCCGGTGGGCCCTGACGAATACTACCTCGCCCTGAGCCGAAAATTCTGCTGCAGTATGCAGCGTTTATATATCGCGGGGTCGTCGAATCCCTGCGATAGCGGGGCGAGCGACTAGCGTAGCTATTCACGCGGTCTCGGCGAGGGGCGTGTCGTAGTGGAACCAGGACTGTGATGAATGAAATGTATATGACTCCCATATGTAGTGTAAGAAACACCTTTCTAAACATTTGTTCTTTAGACGGCGTGGATGTTGAAATGGGCGTTGAGGCTGCAACAAATGCTTCATGCCAGCTTCATAGCAGATTCACAAATGCTTCATAGCAGCTGGTTCGGTCGCTGCTTCGCCCACCCGGCCGGCCAGGGATGCACGAGGGTCGCTTCTCTGTGCCTGGGGAAACATTTTGGCGTTGGCATGGAGCCTCCCAAGGAATTTGTGTCAATGTGGGGCATCCACTCCAGATGTGCTGAATTGACTCTGTGGGAGACTTGCATAAACGATACTAATTAGCTGATCGGTAATACATTTTAGTACGTTTTCATTTGAAGAAGTTGGTCTTGTGTTAAGAAAATGAATTCCTTCACTTCCATGGAAGTGATTCCTTAGGAGTGAATTCCTTAGAAGTGGATTCCTTTACTTCTACTTCGCAGCGACTCCGACACTTGTGGAACAATACTGCCCGATGTTAAAGTAGAAAATGTTCCAGGAATTATTTTCTTTGCCAGCATGTATACGTGCGTGAACCTTCCAGTACGCAGTCTTTGATTTTATGTACTCGGCATCAAGGATCATTGTCTTTTCGTGGCCGTAGCTAGGCTTTGAACGAATAGCAAGCTCCGACGTAATTTTCCAATTGCCTTTAAATTAAGGACTTGCTTCCTGCGTTACTTCGAGGTTTAGTCGTGATGTGTGTTTTATAGCAGCAAATGTGTATAGTGTTACGTGTTAGTACCAGAGGTTTTGCTTCTTCAATTTATACTTATTTTGCCACCTTTATTTACCCTGAATGGCACATTCTTGTTTCTAATGCCTGAACAAAAAATTTTCAACATTCACATTCCCAGGCGTTGGTTTGTATCCTAGATTTTTGTCTCGCCATGGACATTGAAGACATACTCATTGTGTTGTGCAGGTGGTTCTGTCACGTGGATGATGACAACTATGTGAACGTGCCGCGCTTACTGAAATTACTGGGCCAGTTCAACCCCCAGGAAGACTGGTACTTGGGAAAGCCCTCCATCCGATCGCCGCTCGAGATCATCCTCAGAGACAACCCAAAGGTGAGCATTTTTACGCATACATTGTATATGAACGATATGTTAATATTCACAATATTGCAATGCATTGCTAATCTTGAATTGTTTGGATCGCGCAGAAGCGCGACCTACTGCCCCCACATTCCATATTAGTTGCACACATTGTTGCCTAAGAAACCCCTAGAAGCAAACCCCGTCCCTTGTCAGCCACAAGTCAGGTGTTTTTTTGTTTCTTTTTACCTATATCGTAAAACATCTCGCATACGCCCAACGGTCGCCCCCGCCCGTTTCTCAAAACGTAATGCGTCACCCTCCCTGAAGACGGGTGGATCAAGAAAAGTACACAAAATGTCATTGGCTGTAACCTGTATCCCTAAGCTCTATATTTCAAGGCAATGTATCACGTGCAAGTGTGCAACTCCGATTAATCCATTGCGCAGAACGAAACAAAAGCACCAAGTCCGGTGAGATGTTTGTTATCAAGGTCCGGAAGAGAGAGGAACCCAACTGACCCATGTAATCAAACGAACTTCGTAGAGTGTACTCGAAAGAAATTTAAAATAGCGAATTAGAACCTGCCCTGGGATCACATGGTGGACGGGGAGCAGCGAAAAAATATTGAGATGCTGATTGAGACAGAAAAATTTCGGGAGTCAGATAGATAGAGGACGAAGATTCCGGGAGACAGATTCAAACAGACATTGATCGAAATCCACTGTGCTATTGGAATCAACAGCAAGCACGACTCACATTTACCGCTATTTGTCGTCCGCTCCGCTGTCGTGTGACGGCCGGAAGCGTATAAGAGGCTCTCGAGGTGAATAAATCTACACACGTTATCGAGTTTCGCCGTCAACAGCGTGTTTTTTTTTCTTGCCTGACCTGAGCTTGGGGGACGGCACTTCCGCACGGTGATTTCGCCCTTCATTAATTGCTGCGGAAACCCGTCCCGAGAGGCTGCTGCCTGCAACTTGATCTTCGGTCAGCTGCCGAAAGGGCAGTTGCTGAAGGGGCGTGTCAAGGGCAAGGTAATGTGCCGAGTCAGTTGTCGCTGTCGCTAAACCGCTGTCATTGAATAATGGACATTCAGACTACGATGGCAGTCGACCATAATGCGTTCATCTGAAATTACAAAAAGCTACGTAAATGCGTGTATTTCATAAGATTCTCTTTTGTGTTAATAAACACTCATCGTGGGAATGCGATTGTCATCAATATGTGTATGTCAGCAACACATTCGTAACCTAGAATTTGCGTCGTTCCCTGACCCAATCTGGGATATCTAGAGCCGGCATTATTTCGGGCGAGGCCAACACCATACAATCCACCCAACCCATCCCCTGTAGCATCACAGCACTGCTGTGATTCGCTTCTGTCCCAATTTATAAATATTCATGAGGGACTTCAAGTCTTTACATAAAATTGGCGACCCAATGTGTTTCTTTCTTCTTTTTTTTTTAAAGTATGATGCCAGGGCATTACAATATGAAGCGATTGGCTCCATGCCACATCGAATTCATTCGGAGAAAGAAGGGGATAAGGGATTGAAACTAGCATTCCATGTGAAAGAAAAGAAGAGACCTGAAAAACTGGGGGAAGAACTTGAATTCCAAAAAGCCAGATCGCTAGTCACCCAGAAGAAGTATTATAATATTATGTAACTGTTACAAATATTGCAAGGAAGTTTTATGTGCAGTTTTAGCACTAGCTCATTCATTAGATTGTATTTATTTTAAGTAAGAATTTGCAGGAATATGGAAGTTCCTTTCTTTAAACACATTCCAGCAGATATATTTTGAATAATTTTAAAATCTTACGTAAGCTTGGTACAATTTTCATTAAAAGAAATTAAGTGATGTCAAAGAAATAATATTTATTAGCTTCGTGTAACATTAAAAATCAAAACATTGCCCAGCCATTTCTGTCACCTTAACACCTGTACATTCATATTATGTGATAGCACTTCAACTAAAAATGTGCTCATCATGTGGTTATTGTGTGTATGCACAGCGCAAGGTGTCCTTCTGGTTTGCCACTGGTGGCGCCGGCTTCTGCCTCAGCCGCGCCCTTGCCCTCAAGATGATGCCCGTCGCCAGGTGGGTAATACACCAACACAATTGCCAAGAGAAAAGCTTTATTTTTAGGTGCACATGTTCATTGAAAAATGTTGTAAAAAATCTTTAAATTATAAAATGCACAAAGCGAGATATACAGGCTTGTGTCATTTGATCCTGGGGTCTAATGGCTAACAATATTAGCCCTTCCTACCTGTTTTTCAAAGAGGGCCAGTGAAAGTGAACCCAATAATATTATACCTTCATTCCCTTCAGCTTTGGGGAAAAGTACTGAAATTTATTTAATTTGTACTGAATATGGAATTTTTGTTTCCTGACATTCCCTGTCCTTACAGTTAAAAAAAATTGTAACGTGTTGTGACAACCTCTCAGTTCAAAACAGATTTCATTAATAGAAAAAAAATATGTCTCAATCATCAAGTTTTAAAATTTTTACTTTTGCAATTTTTGGAAATTCAAAGAGATCATCGAAAAATTTTGTTAGAGTACTTTAATCTATTTGAGAAACAAATTACAAAAACATTTGGACTTTTTTAATACAGGCTTGTTTTCTAAACTTCATGCATAATTACTCATTTATTGAAACATTGTGCATGCCCTTATTTCGAGATCTATCTTGAATAACGTATTTTATTAAACAAATCTCTTTTACATGATACAAAATAAAATTTGATGTCAGGAGTTTTTTTGTCTAGTGTGATTTTTTTTTGAAAAATATTCTTTCATACTTGATGCAATTCAGAGAAAGCACTAAATTAATATCTAAGTTACCCTGCATTCTTTTGTGCTATTACTTATGAGAAAACAAAGGATGTTAAGTCGAACACTTGCTTTTCCTGAGTGCCTAAAACATGATATGAATACAATTCACCTTCTTCAGCTTAAACTTGTAACTTGTAAACTTGTAACTTCTCAAAGAAGATGATGACAGTATTAAGACATCTGTATCTCAGATAGGTCAGCATTACAAAAACAATGAAAAAAATTGTGAATTTATGTGTCAACAATGATAACTTCAGTGTGAATGCTGAATGTCATTTCTTCACTTCGCAATACTCCTGGATAGGATCCTTGCAATGGAGTGACAAGAAGCAACTAAAAGATTATCGATACTGTCCAGATGTTTATGGTCTAAAAATGTTAGAAATATGCAAACATTTATGATCTAAAAAATATGAAAATATATCCATAAATATGACCTAAACATATTTTGGTTGCATTTTCAAAACATTCAAAATCTCACCAGTGTTTAAAAATAATAATTATATTGAAAATATACTTTTAAAATATAGCACATTCACAATTCACCCCTTCTCCTTTGGTGCCAAGTGAAGACAATTCTACTTCCTAATGTTATTACATAAATTTTATAGTCGAGGTTGACTTTAGCACAAAACCAAACAGAAGTAAACTAATACTTCTTTTGCATCTGGTGCTTTCTATGCTTTCTTTTTCTCTGTCTATATAGCTTACCCTTGTAGGGAAGACACAATTATATAAAACATAAAAATTGTAATAAATTAGATAACAGAGATACGAAAAGTCTCTTTCAGGCAACAGCAAGCAAGAACGTGAAAATGAAATCAAAAAGATAAAAATATGAGAAAAAAGGTGAAAATTCATAGAAAAATGTGACTATAATATGATAAATTAATGGAAAACGACCAACGGGTTTAAAAAAGCCTTTATGACACATGAAAATTGCGTAATTTTAGTCACTGTAAATAAAATTATGACTATCTTACATTTTCTATGGAAGAAACTATGAACATCAAGGCCAAATTTTCAGTAAATTTGTGTGACTTGACGTGGAATGGCCCACCTAGACTTTTTCAAGTCAACTGGTGAACTTTAATCTCTCCTTTTGAAATTTTGTTTCTTAGCCTAACAGTGTATATATAACAATAAGGATATATAACTATCCATGTGTTCCATTTTCAGTGTTGGTAAATTCATCAGCATCGGTGAGAAAATAAGACTTCCTGATGATGTTACAATGGGCTTCATAATTGGTAAGTACATTCCTTTTTGTTTTTTATATAATTGTCTAAATTAAATTATGAGAACTCATAGTGTTGTGTGAAAAATAATTAAACTCGGTACTGTGATAAAACGCTGAGCTGCAAAATGGCTCATTCGATGGCTGCGTTGACTTCACGACCTCTTGTATGTTGGTTATTTATTTTCGTCATTGTGTCCTTCTGAATAGCTGAACTTAAAGCCAATAAGTGTACTTCAGTAGATAGTAGTTAGTACATATGTACAAGTACTATTCCATAATAAATGGAGTAAAAGGCAGTTGTTGACTCAGTGTTGCCTTGCATTATAATGTATTTCACTTATATGTTGCTGGTTTAGTAAGAAAATTCTATTATTTCTCAAAATCAATGAGCTAAATATTTACTTAAAGAATATGATAATGTCATTGGTGAAGAATCATGGATTCTGAATGCAATAGTTGACTGTAGAAAAAATATTTTCTGGTATGCTTTATGACAGGTAATATTTTCCAGTGTTGAGTAATATTCTAGTTCATAAACAAGTGGTGCAACCAGTACATACTTTTTATCAGTAATAGTTATGTAAAATAATAATACTGCAATTTCTGTCCCTAATAACACATCTCAAACACGATTTGTAAATCTCGTTACCAATTCTAGCGCTTTAGGTGTGAAAATTTAATTAATTTAAAGGTAATTCATCAATACAATTCCACAATCCAAATCTCCGTTCTTTACACCTAGAAACTCGCCCAACAATGAAAAGTTATTCTGGGAATTTGAAAGCTGTGTCGCCGGGTTCACAATGTTGTATTGCAAAGACAAAGCTTCGGAAGAATTGTAGGAAAGAAGTATGGGAAATTTAAATTTGCAAGTTCGAAAATTTTGCAAAATTACTCTAAACTGCTCATATATTTTAAAAAATTATACTTGATTTTTGACGATTGCAAGTAAGATGGGAGCATAATATACTGTCAAGTTAACCTATTTTTTATGCTAAAAATGCACGAAAGAACTTGTGCAACAACACTGGCACACACAATCTTCTTCTTAAATCTTTTTCAGAATAATTTAACTACCAATAGCAAAAATGTAACCTTGGACTGGCTTTTTCCTGATTTTGAAGATACTTTGGTTAAAAGCTGATGTTTATCACCCACTGCTTTTTATCGATCGTACTTGTTTAACGTGTCCTGCCATTATTGATTGTAAAAGATGGAAACATCACTTTTCAAAGGCAGGCTACGATTCAATATTGTTATATTTAGGTTATTTTTACTCCAGAGTCTTGTCAAATATTTGTGGCAAATGTAGCTGTTTCTTCATTTTATTTTTATATCATTTTGATAATTTTTTTCCCAAAAGAAGTGTTATCAACTCTAAATTCCCAAGGTTTAGTGGTGAATTAAAGAAAATGATAATTGACAAGAAATTGGTTCATTTCCTTTATAAGAAATATAATACTCCTATTTACTATACACAGTTTTGTAACTTGAGAACAGATTGTAAAAGCATTGTTCTGAGAGATTTAGCTAATTTTAACAACCTAGGTTCGTTTATAACATCTGATCCAAAAAAGTTTGGCACTGCATTAATTCTAAAAGGAAAGGAAAAGGTTTTACCAAGTGTGATGTATTATGATTAACTTACCTTCAGTGACGTCAATTGTTTTGTAAAACGTTTTGCTGATTACCTTTCATCTTTTTATAATCATTAATTAAACTCATTGGATTTTAATTGTGAAGACTTTGACGTGCAGTGTCTGAAAGAATGTGAGATTGAAATTGAGATATCTGACATTTTATGCAAGATTGAACTCATAGACCTGAAGTGTAGTACTGGACTAGATGACATTTCCTCTATTTTCGTAAAGAATTGTAAATTTATCACATCACAAATTTTGAAAGTGAGTTTAGACTTATCTTGAGCTGAGGGAGCATTTCCCAGTGAGTGAAAATCGTCTATCTTATCTATTTTTAAGTTAGGTGACAAATTGCGGCGGCGATGGTGTAACAGTTAGCGTACTGGACTGTTGTACCCAAGTTCGCGGGTTCAAACCCGATCGAAGCCGTGGATTTTTAAGGGCGAAAAAATCCTTCGTACACCTTCCTTCGGAGGGGAAGTAAAGCCGGCTGTCCCATGTTAGTAGATTTACTTGCATGTAAAAGATCCTCAAACCTAAATGACGCCTCTGAGCCAAATTCAAGTTGCCTGTTTCTCGCCCAAGAAATACCTCCTTTCTCTGCTAGTTGGTGAAAGGAGCGTAGCGAAATTTGCGTGGTCACACGGAAGAGCAGGCCTAATGGCCTGAGTCTCGCCACATAAAATAAGGCATTAATTCAATTCAATTCAATTCAATTCAATATGATATAACTAATTACAGACAAGATTTTGAGAGTGATGCTGCTTTGAATCTTTGATTGTTGACAAGATTGCCAAAGTTATTTATCCACTTTTGTCTGAGAGACAGTTCGACTTCATGAAACGCAGAAATATTCTCGATATATGACCTTCTCAATGTCAAGAAATGTAAGTTGATCATTTTAACCAGAGCTAAATTGATAGAGGCTATTTATTACAACTGAACTTCATTGTGTTAGTCACATCCATGAGTAATCTGGGTGTGATATTTGATTTTGGTATGACTTTTAATGAACATATTGAATGTACTGTAAATGAATCTAACCAGATCTTGGGTTTTATAAAGCACACCTATTATGAATTTCATTCAATTATGACATTCAAATTGTTCTTTTTTAAGTTAGCTAAACTCTTTTTGATGTTCTCCTCTGTTATATGGTCTCCCTTTTTTGACAACCATATATCAAGTATAGAGACAGTGCAACATAAATTTTTCAGGATTGAAGCTCCATACAGGACTTATTACATACACACATTGTGTGAAGACTTGACATTCCTTCTCTTAAATCCCAACGTTCTCTGAATGCTAATCTTTTTGCACAAGTTGATGAGAGGTGATTTGAATTGTACGTATCTTTCTGACATGCTTCTCAATAAATCACTTTCTTTCAACTCGAGAAATAATGAAATTTTTGACTTAACATTTTATAGAAAGTCATATACAGCGAACAACCCTGTAAACCACATGAGTAAACTGACAAATTTTTTTATAAATCAACACGTTTCATGATAATACTGTGTCCTTTTTGTTGGATGCGAGGAGTAGAATATTTGAATTTTTTTAATTTTACATCTATTGGTTAGATGTTTGTTATTGTGAATTTTTGTTTATTAATTATTTTCTTTCTGTTTATATTTATATAGTTCTTTGATTCAGATTTACTTGTGCATACATTTTGTATTTTATTTCTAATTTTTATTCATTAATGGAAAAAATTGTCTGTATATTATAATAAATAAATAAATGGCCTTGTTTAAGGAACTGATATTTTATAACAGACTCCATTTAACAAAAAATCTCTCTCATCAATATTGTACTTTGGCAATATTACTTTTTTCTAATTTTCTAAAATATAGTGTGTTCACCAAAAGTGGGACAAGTACCACTTTCTTTACCATTCTACATATACCACAAACGAAAAAATTGGATCAGCTTCTATCTAAAGATAGAAACTTTTTTCTACATTTGGGCTGATGTTGTTCTGTGACAATATAGAGACATAAAACTATATGTAATTACAAATTTAAAAATACAATAAATTATCCATTGTCATGTGGAATATTTATATACAGAGGTAGGACAAAACAATATGAACACCTGATGTATACAAAATATCATACTTGTACCATCTCATTCTTGTACTGACACATCTGCCAATTACTTCAATGATGATGGAGCTGGAAATCAACTCCTCACTCTCTGCTCTAAAACGCTCAACAGTTCAACTATGCTGAGATCTGGCAATTTTGCTGGCCGGGGAAGATGTTTGATGATATTCTGAAACTCCGGAAGCCACCCTTGAACCATTTTTGTTGTGTGTTTGGGTGCATTGTCAGGGAATATGGTAGTGTTCGGCAATAACAGAGCTATGCTAAGTGCTCTGGCCAGTGAGAATAATGATAGGTCCAACTGAATACCAGGATAGTGACCCAACATATAACATCCTCTCCCATGCTCGACTGGAGGAAGCAGGCAGGGTGGAATGTAGGCTTGCTTCGGGGTTCTATATAAATAAACCAAGCTGTTTGTAGGAAACAATGTAAACTATCTTTCATCGCACCATACGGCATTCTTCCAGTCATAATGTGTTCAGGTTTTATGATCGTGCCTCCTCTTCTTTTGCAGCTTTCGGGTGACTTCCTTTATGAAGTGTTTCGCATTTTCAGACCTTCCATTAATGTTAGCTTTGTGAAGCATACTCGAGTCAGTGTTGAGTGTTGCACTTCCCTTACCGTGGTCTGTCAGTTAACTTCAGCTTTCACTCACTATTCCTTTTTGCCTGTTAACATCACTGATGCTCCGCACACCAACAATTTGTCCTCTTTCAAATTCTGAGAGATCACACATTTCACCAATTGCCAGTGTTCATCAGAGAGTATATTGGTATTCACCATCGCAGACTAAAGTCTATAACATAGCATTCAAAACTTCACATGTCAACTGTGTAATGCAGCCGCATCGCAGAGTTTACACGTCCGTAGTGGTGCCAACATGCCAAAAGATTTCTACTAAATTGCATGGTGCTCATATTATTTTGTCGAATCCCCTGTATGTTTAGTTACACCAAATAATTAAAATGGAAAAATTGCAAAGTACAATTAAATATAAATACTTCAAATAGCTTCAATTAGTGAACATGAGTTTCTTCCTAAGTGGTTATGTTTTAGTTTAATCAATGTTTCTTTGTTTTTCAGAACATTTGTTGAGAAAACCCCTAACTGTAATTGACCAATTTCATTCACACCTTGAGCCAATGAAGTTCCTTCATCAAGATACATTTCATGATCAGGTATGTTAAAAATGGTTTTCTAATTATTGATCTTCTAAAAACAATGGAGAAAAAATTATTTTATTGCAATTTCTTCATGATGTAGCATTGACATAATGTAGATGTTCTAAAAATATTCTTTAAAAACACTTTTGGTTGCTCGGCAATGAGGAGCCCTCGGTCTCAAACTTTTTTTCAGAAAAGTGGAATATATCATATACATTGAGATCAAAATATAGTATTGAGTTTTCTATATTGACTTTTATTAAACCAGATTTTAAGTTTTTTATCATCTCTCACTTATTTCATTTTTCTACAATCTTTAAATCTTGGTTTTAAATTATAATTGTGATTCACCTCAGCACATTTGTTGCATTTTCAATGGTCTTTTTATTAAATGTGTATTATGCTTTTAACCCATTAAGTCCCAACGTTGCATAAACACAACATTTATTATTATTATTATTATTATTATTATTATTATTATTATTATTATTATTTATGATTTGGTGTAAATTTGTTCTTTATCACTATCACACTAAGAAGAAATGCTATTTGATCAGGTTTTGCACTTTTCATTCATATTCGAGTGTAAATTGGGCTTCGTTGAATTTTGAAACAGAGAAAATGTAGTGAATTTTGCTACTGCTATTCAGTATGTAATTTAATTATTAAATAATACATTTTTTTACTGTATATTACTTGGCAAATTGGCTTTAACTGTCTTTTATCGTTTCAGAATATTTATTATGTAGACAAGTCCTTACATAGTTAATTATTGATAATTTACAATAATGTTGCATTTACAATCTGAGGGTTGAAGCCCCAAAGGATGATTCAGAATTCGTAATATACAATAAAATGAAAGCAATTGATGTAAATTAATTAAAACTAAGTTTGATGAATGTCAATATTCAATCATTACTTATGTAATTTTATGCTTTGTGTCCATGTCAGGTATGTTCAGCTCCCACACACATGGTTCTTTTCTTGATTTCCAGTGGGCACTCAAGTTTGTACATTAGTTCTGCATTGAGACAATTAACAGTAATAATATTCATACAAAACAAAAACAATCTAGGTTTCAAAAATATGTTCATCACATTCTCCCACAAGTTTGTAATAATGGTAATAATGTAACCATATGGGGATTTCCTGTTATACATTTTTGTCAGAACTGGTAAAATACTGGGGCTAGGAGTTTGGAAGATACCAATTTTTGTGATATATGTATTGGTAACATGGATAAGTGGCAAGGTCCAATGTAATGGATAAGCGTGTAAAAAGTAGTGTGGGGAAAGATGAATTAAAGCTTTATAAAAGTTTTGAAAGTGGCCTTGAAGGGTGTAGTAAAATTGAATAGAAGTTGAATCTATTAAGAACCTTATCTCCTTAAAAATATTTTATAGTGTATCTGATAGAATTTTCCCTTGGGTCTCATTTGATTTATCTCTGTTATTGCAGATAACATTTAGCTATTCAAGATATAGTAAGGACGAAATGAATGTAGTTAAAATAGATGGCTTTGACAAGAGGATAGATCCAACAAGGTATATGCCTTTTCAACTCTACAATAATAACAATAGTTATATATAAAATTCTGATATGAAGATCAATTGTCTAGATGAATATTTTTTTGTATTTAATTTTCAGGTTTTTGTCACTTCATTGCTTTCTGTTTCCAAATTCCAACTTTTGCTCAAGGTGATGAAGGTTTATGGTTTGCTTCAGAGCAAGCCATGTTGACAAGAAGCTACAAGTTCATATACATATTTTAGCTTGATGTAAGGATTATTGATCATACATGTCATGGAGTTGATATTGAACAGACTCCCCAAATTTATACGAGATATTTAGATTGTGTAAATTACAACACACAATTGGATTAGCAAGCAGTACTTCATTTCTAGAACTTGGTGTTGCATATTTTGGCATCATGGGATGAAAACAGTCTATGAGCATTCCCAGTGATTTTGTTTCCTAGAATACTATTATTGCAAACATTTAATCACTGGCAGCTGTGTAAGGAGAGCCTTAGCACTTCCAGTTTGTGACCTATGAGCATATTTCTAGCTTTCACAGCTGTGTTTCTCTATTAGAACCACCATGCAATTGCTCATTGGCCATTGTGTTCCTTTGTGCTTCTGTTGGCAACTTTGGCACAGGAGGTGCCAGTCCCAATTTTGCAACTGAATGTCTCGATTTTGGCTTCGTGTATGCGGTTTGCCTGGAAACTCGCAGAAATGCAGAGTATTAGAGCCAGCAAGCAGCTTGGCACAAGTCTCAGATTATTACTGGAAAAACGACTAGATGTTTCCCAGTCGTGAATATGTGTATTAATTTTCAATCGCTCAGGTTGATTGGAAATTTGTGGTGTCTTGGTTACTAAGAAAGTGTTTGTTTGTATTTGCAATTGTTTATGGTGACTTGTGCAATTGTATGTTTGCTGTAGTGAATGTGCAGGTAAGTGCTGGTCAGAACCATATTTTTCCCTTTAAAGAAATTCTCTTAGCGTTAATAGAAGTTAGCGAGGTTTATCAAACAACGTGGATGATTGCCGAGCAAGAGCAGAGGTGCGAACTAGGTCGAGAGAGATGGAAGACCTTTGCGAATGCAGCATGTTGTACCAGTCGTGGACCACTTGATGTGAAATTGCATTGGTTGTAAAATTAAATTGGTTATAGAATTGTGTTGTCAATAAAACAAGATTTTTAGCAAGAACTGTATGAACTGAAATCAGTTCATCGATTCATTGATTTAATGAAAAATTCAAATAAATATGTTTTTAGTAACTGTGACACCATAAACTTCTGATTTACTAATGGCTCATTTTTATAATATTTAAGATATGGATTTATAACAAATATAAGACTGTGATATGATTGTGCAAGGAAGCACTCATAAGTGCCAAACTGTTATTTGTTGTATATATATATTATAATTGTTTATGAAATTACAAGAACTTCTGCATTGTTTATTCTTTTTCGTTGCAACTCTTCATCTTCTGTGACTAGAATGCCTCTTCCGATACCTGCATGTAGTACACTGAATGCTTACATCTAATTTGGTACTGGAATGATCACTTCAGTGAAGAATAAACTCTGTTCTTTATTATAAAAGGAATTGTTATTCATTATGTCATGTTATACTCTTGGCAAATGAAATGGTTTGCTTTAGAAAATAAAATGTGCAGTAAAAATAAATGAAAGTGCAATACAGTGCACGGTTTGTTTTATTAGTTTTATGGAAAAAACAGAACAGAGCACATTCACATTTCATGAGAGTCATATCTTAAAATTTGGTAAATGAAGAGTCATCTGTGTACTTTTTATGCAGAAAAGGAAAATTGAATTTCTCTTCTTTAATGTAGTACCAGAAATATTTGGACTTTGACGTTATTGTATCCTCATTGAGAATGGTTAAAAAAAATTTGATGTTGGTTCTAAGTTAGTGCTCACTGTTACGAGAAAGCATGGCAAATTGATACCAAATTTGCACTTACTGCCAAAGATGACAATGAAACTTTTCGTAAAACCCAAAAATAAAGATATAAAATTTTGTACTTCTCATGTATTTCTGATTACATTTGACATTACAACTATTGCTTCTCTGTGATCTTGATTGAATTGTAAGAGCAAAAATGTACAATAATTCCTATACATGTTTATTTAAATGGAAGTTATTATATTTATATTGTACAAATTGTACAGTTTATAAGAACCTAACAATTATAACATTTCTAACATGGTACTAGTCTAAAATAATCTACAAAATAACAAATAGAAAAATATTAAATTTTCTTTGTGACTGCGTCAAGGTAATAGTAAATGACAAGGTATTTTATGTGCCATTTTGAGAAGATTGAAATAAGTAAAATATTCATTTATGATTTATTATAACAGGCCTAACACTCATAAAAAAAACATTTATTTCAAGACAAACTTGAAACAGATTTTTCAAAAATATATTTGCATTGTTGAAGCAGCTTCTAAAGTATTTGGTGCTAAAAGAATACTTGTATATGCTGGTTTTTGTGAAACATACATATTAAATCAACTATTGTTACAACCTGTTGTAACAAATTGAATTTCTGTGGATTGGACGGGTTTTGTGGTAATCCATATTGACCTTTTTTTAGTGCAATGTTGATATTCACAGAGAAACTTGCTATAGAGGGAATGGTAAAATTGAACACCCATTTAAAAATTCAATCAAAATTTTTGTTTTTGTTTATTGATTGTTGTATATCTTCCTGATTTCTTCTATTAGTACAAACAAAATATGAAGTGCATCTATTGAAATGTCTAATAAATTATAATTCCTATTTCTGAATTTTTTTATTCATACATAAATGATTTTTATATTTTGTAATATATAAATAAATGTACTTCATTCTTTTGTTCGTTCTCCGAGTGTGGATTAAGTAGGGTACCCTGTTCGTACTTTGATAATTGTTTTATAACTAGAGACGGAATATTAGGCAAAATGCCTAAACTTTATTATTAGAGATATCTTATATATATTATTTGTAAGTTTGTATTACGCTATTAGTATTGTAGTTGTTTACAACACAACTAATATTGCCTGTTTCTGCCTATTGTTGTGAATAATGCCTCAAGAAGCCTATTTAGCTCATTTGCTTTTTGAATTCCTAATCTGGTGATGTTCGAGTCTTTTCATTATGTGGTGACTTGTTTCTCAAAGTAAATTTCATGATCTTTCATATGCAATATTAATCATTATTTTGAGATACTTAATGGAGGTGCATCAGCACATGAAGATCTAATATTTTTATTTTATTGTAAGGAATTGAGAAAATAACAATGAATGAACAAATTTCAGATACATTTCTTTAAGTTACAAAAATCAATGTAACTTTTGGTGAAAATGACTTTAATAAGATACACATGGAATAGAAAATGAGCACTTGAAGATTACTCTTGTTCAATAACGTTTCCTTGTTGGTTTCTTTGCATAGCATCAATAAGAATTATTCACTGGGTGTCATTTGATTTATTTTCATCAAGAAACAGTAGAAACTATATGTGGTACATGGAGGAGAAGTGTAATCTCTGCACAGTTTCTCGAGCTCCTGAATCTCTTTTCTACTCTTTTACTATACAAAATAGGAAGTAAAAGTACCAAAGCGATGTTAGCAACATTTGAAGTATCTGACATTAAATCATTGACAATACATGACAAATATTGACAATAAATCATTGACACGTAACTATGAGAAAATTCAGACTCTGAGATTTTCCATGCTGCATGGTACCTAGGAGAAAAATGTGAGCATGTTATTTCTGATAATCTGAACTTCAGCAACAAATACCCATTGGGGTGATTCATAGGGATGAAAATTAAGTTTCAGCCCTTTTTGTTCCTAACATTTTAGTAATTTCACAGCATTTGTCATAACATTTTTAGCAGTACACATGGAGAGAGAGTTTTGTTTTGAAAATTGTGTTGTCCTGTAAAGAAGTATGTAGTTGTGTGTAATTATTGGCAATGTTTTAATGCAGAGACCTATTGTGTTCTGGCAGGATGTAGTGACAGTCAATACAGTGACAATATCAATTCACATTGTTTCATTTATATTTGGGTGCAGTTTATAATTAAGTTGGCTAAATATGTTTATTGAAATGTTATTAATCATAAGGTAAAGATTATGTAATTTTGTAGCATATAATTTGTAAAATATGTTTATATTCACAGGCATTGCATTCTTGCGAGGTCTATGTTGCCATATATGTCTGTATTTATTAAGAACTTATGGAAACAAAATGTTTAATGTATTTCAGAGCCTATATTTAATATTATTAGTGCTTTTTTGCATGTATCGTTTGGATTTTCTTAGTGCCTGATATCTGTTCTCTTTACTCTATTAATTTTTATTACAATATTATATTGAAATACGAAGTATAAAATAGATATGTTTATACTGAACCCTTTGTCTTCATTGACAATTTGTAAGATTAAAGAAAGTATTTGAAGTCCAGGATTCTCAGAGGTGTTTTGTGTTGTACAATACTTTTATTAAAGAAATATTTCGTGAAAGCATATTTATGCATAAATAGTAGTATTTTGAAACTGAAACTTTTTTGAATTCTTTCTATCTTCTCAATGCTGTCCACTGACAAAATTATGGAGGCCATTGTCATTAGTAAAGACTGATATTCTAAGACGGGGTCTTTTACTCTTAAAAACCTAATATTTAGCAAAAATTTTTTTAAATGATTACTGGCCTTCCATGGCGAGATCTGTACCTGAACATAATATTTGCAATTTATGTTTTGAATATTTGTGCAATTATTTGATTTTTATCTGAAGATTATCCTTCCATGGTTAATGGATCATATGGTACATACAGAAGTTGAGATTTGAGATATTTTCAAAAGCAATGTTACAGAAAAATTGGAGTGCCATATTCATCATAATTATTTGATGAGAGAGAAGAAATTAAATTTAGATATAAATATGTTTAAAATGCTAACTATATTGAAGTTGTGTAACGTATTTTAATATTTTGCTTTATTGCTTTTGTTTATGTTAAGTATTCATATTATAACAATTATGTTTTAATGTGTATGATGTGTTATGAAAACAAAACGGAAACTCGCTCAAAAGCATATTATGGTGGAAAAACTGTTGAACAATCTTTTTTGCTATTTAAGATTTTTATACTGCAATATATTTCTCATAAAAATATACTTTTGCACTCGTGTAGCTCTATTAAAAAAGTGAGTGATTTTTATGCCCATTTTTAGTGTTTGACCTGCAATAGGCTGAAGTATTAGTACACTTTATTCTTGGACTATATTGTTTATTTGTCAATAGAAATTATGTGCAATAAAAAATCATTTATTCATCTAAATTTGGGATTTTTTGTTATACTTACATGTTTATTTCTTGATATTCCTACAATCTTTCAGTATGGTTGTATAAAAATTCAGCTCAAGGTATGCTAAGCATAGTGTGGTTGTGTTGATAATGCTGTGCTGATGAGTGGGAAGACTGGGTGTGATTGTGGTGTTGCACATGAATGAACATGTGAATATTGAAAAGGCCCTGTTTCATTAATTAGCCTAGTAATATACCAAAATGGGTTCATAGCAAGTACAATTTGCAGGGGCATCTCCCTAATTCAAATTTAATTCCATGCATGAAGAAATGAATTGTGAGAAAAGAGAATTTTTTATTTGAAATTTGGGTCCCCCTTGGATCATCTGCCCCAGCCCAGGCCCCCTGTATTTCTCTGGGCACCTCTGATAATCTCTTTCCCTGCTTTTCAATGACCCAATCCAAATTTCTAAGAACTTTAATATTTTTGTTCATCCTTGTGAATATGGTAACCTCCACAGAAATGATGAGTAATAACTACCTCGCATTACCTTTTTCAACATTAGGAATAAGACAAAGCCTGGTGGACATGTGTTAGGATTGTAGAATGCATTAACTGCCCAACTCAAATCAGGCAATTTCTCAGTTATGATGTAGGCAACTTGTTGGAGTGTTGTGCGAAACGAGAGCCTCCGTGGGTGATTTACTTCACATTTATTGATGCTCGATGAATTGTTTTGGGATGTGGAAGACCAACCTGTCCTCTTTTCTTCAGTGTCAAATCCATGATTCAGCAATTGCATAAGTGAATTGTCTATTTCGGTGGAGAATGTGTTCAGTAAAATTTTGATTATAATGTGCTATGTTTCGATTATAATGTTTGATCCTCGATAGTCCCAGAACCCGAGTCTAGCATGACCTCCATTTCTAAATCTCGTTATTTAATGCTATCGAAACCAAAACAAGCATTTTAGGACCCATTGCTGAAGTCCAAGGGTGACCCCGAACTGCGATTGTTGAACAAATACCTAAAAGAAACTGGTGGTGCTATTGCATGTACTTTCTCCCCTTATTTGTGACTCTTCATACCATTATTAAAAAATGGCTGATGACTTTTAAATGATGTTTTTAAGATTCATAATGTTGAGATCCCAACAGTATTTTGTCAATGACTAGCATGTCATTGTCATGTCAGCAGATTGCTAATGAATATGGTACAAAAATCTCACCAAATAAAACAAAAGTGATTGAGTCAAATAAATAACTAATTTAAAGGACTTGTGCCTTAAGGAGCAAAGATAGTTACGTATGGCCAGATAATTGAACAAATTAATGAATATAAATAGTGCTAAATGCACTGACAATGCCATTAGCACAATTATGATTTTTTTTTTTACACAATTTTTTTTAAAAGATCTCTCACATTCTTAACATTTACACTGCGGTCATTTACTTCACATTTTTGCAATTTTCGAACACAATTTTCGAATTCAAATAATTTCTGAAGAAATTTCTCAAAAACTCAAAACTTCTCAGAAAAAATAAATTCCAAATTACCATTTTCAGAAACGTTTATTCATTTTCTCAAGAACAGTTCAAATTATTTCAAAGAAAATTTGTTTCTTGAAGACATTTCTTGAAAGGATCGAAAAATTGCGAAAATGTGACAAAAGTTTGTTTTGCCACCTATAGGTAGTAGCTGTGAAGAGGATGTGGCAATACCGAAAAGCGAGCCTAGACTAAAAATATTAGAAAACCAACTAACACGAGAATGTGTGCGTGTGTCATTCTGTAGCACCACTAGTTCTCTTTGTTACACCTGTGTTGTGTCGGATAGTTTGTGATAGTTGCACGGCGTGCCTCACTGTTTCTGCGGCTGCCTCTGTCGCTCCGTCGAGCACAGGGCTCTTGTCCAGAGTTCATGGCCGCTTCTTCTTGACGGGGACCTGGATGGTGTGCCGGAAATAGCTCGCAGTTCTACCCGCAATGGCCTCGGCGACAATGCGATCACGTACACTACCGGTAGCATATAAACAACTCTGACAGTTCAGTGCTCTGTTGCCGCACATGATATCACCTACATCACAGATAAATTAAATCTCAAAAACACTAACACTTAGTGACAGGCTATGATCTCATGTTCATAACCTTCGGAAAGTCGAACCTCATCACCCCCGCGGCTTCGTGTGAGTCAGATTAGCGACAGCGCTGAACGCTGGCTGTGAGAAAGTACAAACCCTCGCAAGTTGATTGCTTCAGAGCAGGTCTCGAGACGTCCCACCACACGTGGCGAGAGAGCTGTCAGAATCGCTCTATATGCTGCCGGTTGCGTAGTTCTCGCGTTTAGGCGCCTGAGTTCAACTGGCAGTGCAGCGCCGCGCCGTCTCGCTGGGGAGAAAGCTGATCTCGTGATGCTAGGAAGGGGCTGTGTGGGTGTACGTTTCCACTTCCCCGCCATATCGCTTGTCGAGGGTAAGCGGGGAACTCCGTGGCGATAGAAGCAGGTTCGGTCCGTTCCGCCCCCGATCGCCTGCTCTTCCAGGAGCGACGTCCAACCGCCTGGCACTGAGCTGCGGCGGCTTTGACAAGAAAGAATTCTGTTATGCCGCAGTTTGCATAATGAGCTATGGGACATCACATGTGCGATCGATTCCGAAGCGGGGGAGTTCGGGCCGTGGGAGCGCTTACAGCCACGGCTGCGGGAGCTTTCCAGTTCGCTAGGGCTGATGTGCAACAGCCGAGAACACAAACTTGTATAACGGGGGCATACATACATTTGTAACATAGATGTTTTATCAGGAACATCTATATTACAAAATCATTGATTTTTTTCATTTCGTTGTTTTTTTCACATCGATATACTTGTGTAGAAACATCGATGTTTCCAAAAAAACTCATGATATAAATTCTGTAGATAGCTCGCAATCAACAGCCATTGTCAACTGCCACTATTGTCGATCTCCAGGCGACATGAAACGGTTCACTATTCTCCGATGTTACCTTTCTTGATTATGTTGTACATCGTAATATCGATCACCCCGGCCAGCTGTTGCCCCTAATAGGCCCGCCTTGCTCACGTGCTTGGCGGGCTGCATCGCCCAGGCGCTCCGCAGTGTGACCAGGTCCCGATAACAAAAGTTGATAAATATTCTCCCAATGTATAGAAAATTTCTGCCTCTAACAAGTATAGTCAGAAACCATATTTGGTGGGTCTTTGACACCGGAAAAAATGATTGACGGCAAAATGTCTGTCCTATATCTGTGCTCCAACGCTAGCGACTAAACCGTCTCCAAATTTGATTACTCGGAGAATATAAACTTTCTCATTGATACTCCCCAATCCCTCTGGCTGATAACGCGTCCACTGGAATTTGAAACCGATATTTTAATTCTTGGTGCGTGAAGTCTTTACTCGAAGCCCAGCCGATATTTTCAATTTTCTTTTATTATTTCTTAATTCAAATTTTTCTTTAAATTTAGACATTTCTCACGCTATTAATATTTACTTTACTGGCGATTTGTATACATTATTGCATTTATAAGTACATGTGCTTCAAATGATGTCTTATAAAGTTTCTCGTAAACTCTAACGTTTTCTGTAAAAATGAGCTCAAATTTCTACATTTTTGGAAACTTTTTGTTTGATTTCTAAAGTAGGTGCAGTGTAATACTTACGAAGACTACTGATTTGTTCAAAGGCTTAAAAGTTTCTGTACGTTAGTTAATTTGATGAATTTTGAGTAACTTGCGTGTCACACCTCTTTTTACTTTCTCGCACTTACTAACGTACGAGAAGAGTTCGTAAAAAGAGAGTATTGTAATCGTGCGCAGGAAACCGGCGAGTTTTGAAGTTAGCAATTTCGTAACCAAGAGAGATAGTATACTGTTGTGAAGGAAAATTATGTAACTCATGTAATGTCTTAAAGTAATCATTAATAATTCTGTAGTTTTTGCTGCGACATTTTTGCATGACAGTGACAAATGTTTTCTCCTTGTCCCTCATATCATTTAAGCGTGAAGTGTCCGCACTGGGCGGGTTCAACCTTGTATCGCTTTCAGGGGTATTCAGTGCAAGATAAAAATATAATTTAACTCTTTTGGGAAGTTTTGCCTTGTTTAATTGTTAAAAATTTGATGCACACTTAAAGATATACTAATATGTATGCCAATACATTTCTAACAAATTCGAAACCTCCGCCATGCGCAATCGCGACGACGAAACTGGCTTTCTCTTACAGGCCTGCTCATAGGGACTTCACGACCTTATTTTAATACCCCTTGATGTAGAAAATAGGTTTACATTTCGAGAAACATAGTGAGTGTTGAATTAGTTCAACGGTTCATATCAGGACGCGGCTCGGCCCCCTCGGAAAGGAACGCAAGTGCAGAAAATGTTTTTTTAAAAAAATCAATGACTGTCACAACTCAAAAACTGAAGATATTTTAACTCAAACTTGGAGAAAAGTATGGTAATATTGCGAAATGCGTGTATCACTAGTTGTTGAGGCTGTGAAATATTGCTTAGATGAATTGGGAGAGCTTTAGCAGAAACTGCAACGAGAAGTTTTGTGCATCGCCTTCTCTTTTCTCATCAGACGAAAGATCTGAAAAAAAGCGACACATAATTGACAAAGATTATTACTTTGCCGAAAGAATCAATGAAGATATGGTCATGGTTACCCCCGTCTGGAAGAAAATAAACGTTTTCCTTACAAATTTCACGTCATACATGCTTTCTGCTTTTTCGCTCCGCGTCTCAGAGCGCTAGTTCAAAGAAACTACACGATAATTGCATGCTGCTAACGTACCACAAACTTTCAATGCGCCCCATATACGTATTGCTTAGCTCCTCGGCACCGTCGCTACAAAAATGGTCACGGTTTCTCTGAATTTCAAACAA